TTGATCAAAGTGCCTTTTAGATGTATCTATTGTTTTGTCTGCAGCCTCGGTGGGATTAGATGGATTACCTGCACGTCGTCAGGTAAGTTTGATGTTGTACGTCCTCTGATGCATTTGGACACATCAGCGATGTAACCCGAGGTCACAAAGTGGTTAAGGTCTTTCAACATTAGACACACTCAGCCGATGCCTCCAGGCTGGAATCGATCACTTTTGCAGCTCGTATCCAAGTCGTATCCACGCAGCGGTTTTTATTATTCACGACCATCCCGAGCCACGTTTTCATCACCTCGGATGACATCAGCGGGATAAAAAAAGGTAGATCCAAAAATTAAAATGCGCTCTCATCAGGACGAAATGGTATTGGATCACAGCAGCATGAGAAAGACTGACGCAAAGATGTTCTTTGACTTTTAGTCCCAGCCAGTTGTGCTGCAGAAAGACGTCTCACCAATTACTGATTAACAACAGTAAGGCCACATTCAGACCAGCTTCATCCTCGTGGTCAACGTACACCCCATTTCAATGAAGACCGTAGTGCCGCATCACAATTGGCAGTTTAGGTGATGCAGCTGTAGGAGAAGTCTCCTGTCGTCTCCTCTGCTTATGGTCTTGTTACCTGCATTGTTATGAATGATGGTGGGCCTCCGCCTTTGCTTCAGGGAGGGTAATGCGAGTGGTCACATGGGTTTGCATTCACTTGTTCTTGGCTTTGACGGTGAGAGGAGAAGCGGGAGCTGAATAAACACTGACTGTAGATCACATTCACAGATGCCAATGTGTGATTAATGCAGGGTGGTTTTGATCTGAATGCCCCCAACAGTTCAAATGCTAACATGCTCACAATGAAAATGTTATCAAGTGGATGTTTTATTCAAACCATCTTGAACATCTTAGTTTAGTGTGTTAGCAAGCAAATAAGCAAAATAACTTGAAGTCCAAAGCGGAGGTAAATGAGAACATCATACTTGATGAAAACAGCCAAATTAAAGTATTAAATGTAATTGCAATTTGTATGAAATGAATATCTGTACCAAAATAGAACCCACTGTTTCCTGCTGTTGATCATTGTTGTCGTCCTGAATGTAGCCTGTGAGTAAGAGTCAGTGAAACAGGAGGATTCCTCCTCAGGGAGTTATGAATCACACATTTTCATGGCAATCCAACACTGGATGTGTTTCTGTTTGGTGGACGGGCCACTCGCCGCCCCGAAGCAACAAACCTCACTCGCGACGAATTTCATTCTTCACGTCTGGACAAACTTGAGACGGAGACTCTTCCACATTGTGACGCTGCCAAAATAATTCCAGCCGCACATTATGTCCCGTCCTGTTCTGACAGACAGACGTAATCAAATCCAATTATGCCACTTCTCCCTTTGCTCCCCATTAGCGCTCATCTCCCATTGTCCTCTCGGATTTCCTTCCTGCAACAAAATATTTGAATGACAATGGCATAGTCCTAACACCCGCAACAGGCACAGTGCTCGTGCTCTTCTCGCCCTCTCTCCTTTCCACACATTCTCCTTTCTGAAATCAATTGAAAGGAAAACAAAATGACAGGGTTTTTATATCACTGCTGTGATACCCGGAGACTACACAGGGAAATGACTATTTCCACACACAAAAGGCTCCATTACTGCCAGGTGACCTCTTGTCATTCTGTTCTTTAACCCCAGAGTTACACCGACCGGGACCGGCGCTTCGGTGTGTGTGTGTGTGTGTGTGTGTGTGTGTGTGTGTGTGTGTGAGTGTGTGAGGCTGAGCAGTGTGATTGTGTATGCACTAGAGCTCCTCATGCAACTGCAAGGAATCTGTCATTCGTATCAACTGTTTTTCTTGTGTCTTTTTGCAGTTATGTTTGCATTGACTGCAGGGCTCTCTATTTTTAGCATTCAAAATTCCTGTTCTCAAAAAAAATGGCGTAGGCATTTCTTCTTTGTCCGTCTATGCATGCTTGCAATTACTTACATGTATCTTTAATTAATGTTGTTCCCCTAATAAGGAGATCAGAGAGTTCATTCTATGGACTCACGATGCCAAATATAATGTTTTCCAGCTGTGCGAGTCCATCGTTGGAGCGGATCTCCCCGTGTGTTGGTTGACCCTTTAACAAGTGCATCCCTCCACAAATAGACCTCCTCCTCTCCCCACATCTATCTGCTACTTTTCCCTTCCCCTCCCTCCACTTCTTCTGCTTTGCCTCAATCGTCCTACTGTTGCACCACGTTTAATGCGTCCACCGCATTCTCTCCGAGTCGTCCTTCCCATCACCTCTGTACACCTTTCCTCATTTGCTGATTCTCCTGTTTCCACATATTGCTTCGTCCTCCTCCGTACCCACCTTGCTCTCCTCCTCACTTATCCATCTTTGCCACTTCCACCTGCAAACTGTTTTTTTTTTCCCAATCCATCAAAGGGCGTTTTTGAGAATATGCCGTGTGGCCGGTTAAGACCTCTGCACTTATTCTTTACCGCATTTTATTGTCCTCGCTGATGCACACGACTTCTCATCAGTTTGTAAATATGAAGATGCTGCACACAGCAGGCTTTAACCGTGCAGTTTTGGAAACGATTAAAAAACATCCTCCTGACATTTGGGGAAGGAAGAAGCGGAATAATGGCGTGAGGGTGATGTTTGTGTGAACGTAGAAGCTTGTGCTCCGAGCATGTTCTTTCATTTACTATAAACATGCGGCGACCGAGTGACTCGGAACAGGAGCGTCGCTGCTAAGTGGAACAGAGAAGGGGAGCAGCTGGGCAAAATTCACCTGCCACTTCCAATGTGGATCAGAAATTGCACTCACACTAGCAAACGCCTCTCTCCGACTGGTTCGGGGGGGGGGGTCAAAAAAAAATTAAGGGAAACAGGAGGACAGAGTGTGCTGTGGCCGGACAAATCATGGACGCTAGATTGAATGGAGGGCGGTGATGAAAATGGGAAATGGTCGCATTCCTTGAGACCTGCTGTGTTTGATAGACAACGTTTCATGGTCTACTGAAGATGAAGCAATGGGTGTAACAGACTGATTTACAGCAGCTGGAAGATCGGCACAAACAAAGAAGAGTAACTCACCTCTGCTCCTTGAGGGACGCGGTGAATTGTCGGTGTACGTGAATTGTCACAAAGCATTGGTGCTTTGCGTTTGCCAGCGTGATCTTTTTCCACATGGAAAAGGCTGCTGAATCGCCCGTGTTTTCAAAAGTGTTGAAATTGTGGCCTCAGACGGAAGTTCTGGATGCAGGAGGCCGGTCTGGGTGATGAGAATTCAGATGAACGACTTTGAAAAAAAAGAGCTGCATGCGGTTGTGTGGTTTTTAATCACTAAAGTTTGGGGTAGATTGTAGTTTCATTTACCACACTGTTGAAACCCGGTTTTCACACGTTTTCCTCTGCATGCAATGACTCGCTGCCTCGCAGGGAGGCAGTGCTGTGTCACTCTCACGCGGATGAGAGGGAGACAGACGCACTGTAAAAGGCCTGTATTTTCAAAGAGCGATAACAGACACGTAACCACAAAGTAACTCATTCTTACACTGACACTCACTCTCCATCTGCGATATGCTCTCACCGAACCCGCCCATCAACCTGATGTACACTTTGGCCACCAGCCCCCCCTCTCCCTCCCCCAAAAAACATGTCAGACAAGGATGAGGAAATCTCACAGGTGAGCTAATCACTGTTATTTGAAGAGAGTTCCAACGTTGGTATTTTATGTGCAGTCTGTTGGGTTTGTGGCCAGATTCTGTTGTGACAGTCGGTAAAAGTAGTTAAGAATACCAAATGTATTTTGGTGTCCTGAATACAAATTGTGTACATGCGGTAAATAAAAGGGCGGCATTGAAACGGATGAAAAGCCAATAAGACAGACAGGAAGATAAAGGGGCATTGGGAGGGGTGGGACAAACAGTTTGTTGGTCAGTCTGTCATTCAGCCAGACAGTTATCCAGAAGGGACACACATCATCATGCGCAGACAGAAAGTCGAGACAGACATTATGCTTATACAGAAGAGACGTCCGCCCGTCACTCGTTCAGATAGGTATGACTGATTGACAGCATTATATATAACGCTATACACAGGCGGACACTCAACAATCCACCTGACAGACACGCTGATCTCCACACAGATAAACTCAGGCGGGCAAACACTGCGCATCCCACGTCGGTTTCTCTAAAGGTTCATTTTAAAAGTTCACAATCAGGCGGGCGGCCACTGGACTGGCCATCAGGGAGAGACGGAGGGTCGCGCTGCCCCAATATACCCGTGCTACATTAATATTTCAAAATAGTTTTTCTGGGAATTTATAGTCTGGATAGCCGCTGCTGCATGACACGGTCTCATAAATGAAGCAATTATTAAGGTTTGTGTTTTGCATGAGACAACAATTGTTTTCCATTTGCTCTTATAGTATGAGTCAGAACAAAAAGTAACAACTTTGTTTGTTTGTCGTTGCGGTAAAGACTTCTCAAAGCTGGTATCTTATCCTCACTCGAGTTCAAGAACCTGTGCTGCATTTATCCATCTGTTTGTCGATCCATCTATCTGTCTGTTTAGTTGGTTTTCCCCATGTATATTAATGCAGTCAGTTACAAAGACACAGGCCTGGTTAACTAATAAATATACAATAGTAATTTGAATAATACAGTAATAATTAACAATAGTATAAGAAGAATTAGGCATTTTAAATGAGAGCTTGTTAAAATATAACAACCATTATTTTCATTGTGAATGATTGTCTTGTTAATTAATAATACGAAGTTTTCTCAGTGAGAGTGAGCATCTGAAAGTCTTTTTCTCACACATCTCACTCTTTTTAGACGCACTAAACTAACTTGTACGAGTCTTGGAATGGTCGACTCATATAAACATTGACAGGACAACATATCATACATGCAGCTGTGGTCGGTGTGTTTTGCGAAGGAGCTGATGTGCGCCATGACGCGCGCAGCTTGGACAGGGTGGGGAGAGCGCGCGAGCGCGCGCGCGCATTAGACAGATACCATCTCTCTAACCCAACCAGTCAGTGTCCCAACAGCCTCCAGAAGCGTTGGCGGTCTCCAGCGAATCCCCCCTCTGTGCCTCCTCCCTCCAACCTGACTTTGTCTGCGCGCAAACTTCCAGCAGCGTTCATCGTGAGCGGAGGCAACCACCATGGATGCGCCACACGAGGCAGACCTGACCAACTGAAGGCACCGCGCAAAGTTCTGCCACGGAGACCACCGTGACACTGACCCAACAAACACACAACTTTTGTGATCCTGAAGAGTTGCTCCCCCCCCCCCGTCGCCTGCCGGTCGGGATTGATTGGATTCTGCGGCGCTTCCTTCTTTTTTATGTCCAGCCGGGGAGACGTGTAGTTTTTCGGGGGTGGTCTTCTATAAGGAAGGCGACATGCAGGTTCTCGGTTGGACCATACTTCTCCTTTGCCAGTGGATCCTACGGAAGGTGAGTTAATTACTATCCTGAGAAAGAGAAAGAAACTTTAAATACTCTTTAAATATAAAAAAAAAAAAATGAAGGTTCTGCGTTTGGAGATAAACACTCCTCTTAGACCGACAGTTTGCCTGAAATCACTCAAGTGGGGAACAAACAAGGTTCCTGCAATAACCTTTGCATGTACAGTCACCGACACATTTAGTTTCCAATCGGAATCAGACGCAGTAAGAAACTGCGGTTTGCTTGCGCCGTATTTTAACTACGGGAATCTGTGTTGGCTGTAACTTGGATCGAAGTTGCTAAATGTTTTAAATAGTGTTTGTTAGTGGGAATAAACGGGTGTAAGACTTCCATCTCTCTCTCTCTCTGAGCGCTTCCCCTTAATTCTGTATTCCCAGTTACGCAGCCTCGCTTATCTGTTTGCGCTCCCAGCAACTTCCCCACTCCCTCTCTCTCTCTCTCTTTATATATCTATATATCTGGATATATTCCTCAGAAGTAAAACACGCCCTTGGCGGGTTTTGTTATCTCGGCATCGGTAATACACGCAGTTTGTGCGCATAGTTCCGCTCGCTGCGCTGAAATGCGTTCGCGTGTTCGCGCACTTCAGCTAGAGCGTTTTTTCTGATCGCTTTACTCTCACAACGGTCATTCGGTTATTTGGTTATTACACACACACACACACACACACACACACACACACACACACACACACACACACACACACACACACACACACACACACACACACACACGTGACGGAATACAGCGGAACAGAAGACACGGCTGAGCAGCAGGAAATGAAAGAGTTATAAAAACATGACCTTTCACCTTGACCCTCCTCTTTCTCTTCTTCCTCACCTCTGACTCCTTCATTTCCTAAGTAGTTTTTTTAAATAAAGATTTAATAAGCACCCTTGACAGTGTAAAACAGGTCTGATTAGCAGGTGAAGCTCACCTGGTTTGAGTGTTTTAGGACTGAAGAGCCCAGTGGGGGGGGGGGGGGGGGGGGGGGTTCAGAAGGGGAACGTTACAGATTTGCCCGGCTGGCCCAACAGTAGTTTGGCATTCTCTGCAAACACCCTGTTGGCTGCTGGCAGACTGCGGCTGGGTTGTAATCGTGACAGGTAATAACACCTACGCTTCTTTGTGAGATTGAATGCAAATCATTTCTGCAGCAAAGTGTGACTGCTGCTCCGGCTCCATCACATGAGAGTGCAACTGTGGTTCAGGTATAAGGATTGACTCGGTATTAGATTATATCAGCCGTGCTTTTCAGTAATGTGCCATTTGAAATAGAGGCGGATCGTTTTTCATGTCTTTTTTTTTTTTTTAGTAGTGGGGAGAGGAGGGGGTGGGTGGGTGGGGGGGCATACGAGTCTTGTTTGTTTAGTATGCGGCACAGATGACACCGTGATTCAGCTCGCATAAAATGACAAGTTCCATCCGTGGGAGCGGTATTGGCTGGGAGGATTAATAAGTGCGGAGGTAGAGAAGAAGTGACGGCAGGTCCAACATCTGGTAAACGGAGAGGAGAGGAATCAGAGAAGCTGAAGTCAGCTGAGGGGGAAGGAATGAAGTGTAACATGAACCACCCCTCTCCCTTAATTACATGCTCTCTTTGAACAAAACCCACCCTCAACCTGCAGGTCACTTAAAGTACATGTGTGAGTGTATAAGTGAGCGTATTAGAAGAAGAGGCGGACGAGGAGGTGGGGAGAGGACCAGAATCCTTTCATGATTCAAACTAATTTGTATTTTCTAACGGCATTGAAACTATCAAACTTCTTTCAGAAATGCGTCAAATGTATTTGGTTATATTCAAGGGAAAAAAAAGAGAAATCCTGCACATAACGTCCGACGCTGCAATATTCAAAAATGTTTTTCCGCCTTTTGCATTGAAGCGATATCTGCAGTAACAGCGCTGCAAAACAGAAAAGATGTGTGAAAAGCTTCTACGCTGTTTAATGCTCCCAGTAGGAACAATAGCATTAGCCGGCATCTCAACCTGACGAAATCCTCTTATCTCCCCCCAGAAAACAACTAGCTAAACACCCGAGGGATCTCACAGCAACGCAGTCCTTTTAATATCATTATGCTGTATATCCCACTTCCTTTGCAATCGTGTCTCATATATTCTGCATAGCTTTGCATTTCTGTTCTCGGTGAAATCTGTATGAGAAGTACGGCCGAGTGTGTCTCCACGCCTCCTGCTTGTGCCCACATTTATGCATTTATGTTCACGCCATTGAAGGAAACCACAGATTAAACCAGGTGGTTGTTGGTTCTCTCTCCACACACACACACACACACACGCACACACACACACACACATGCACGTCTTTTTGTCGGCGCGTCTGTGATCATCTCAACTGTCAAAGAGCCCAGTTTGAACGAGCAGGAGGCACCACTGGCCTGTAATCTGTAAATTATATTCTCTATTCAAAAACCGATTAGATATGTAATCTGTTGAAACGCGATGATAGAAGCAATCACATTATTGCTATATCTATTGCTCGGAAAATTGTTCCCTGAGATCAAAGGATTCTTTAACTCAAAAAAATGGCACAGATTCATCCAGTGTTTTAATGGATTCTAACATGGTTTGCTTAAGGTTAAGCAACAATCCATTTTATTTAATTTGTTTTTCTCCCCTTTCAACAGCCCCGTGCCCCATTTTTGACAACCCATTACTTTTAAAAATGATTTATTGGTGCGGTGAACAATTCCACCCCAGGCTGGGTATTAGTCTTAAGGAGAGGGGAATTTAATTGAACTGTGTGAAGATGTCATATATTTTAGAGTAATGTAGAAGAAGACATCATTATGGACCTGTAGGTCCTGCTTTGTACAAGCACCTGTCGTCCCTGTTCGGGTTCAGGGTCTCATGACTGTAAACCTAAATGTATAATGGCACTTTTTAAATGCATTTCATAATGACTTATATATGGAGAACATAGCATAATAATATTTCTTACGTATATTGTTTTATATTTTGTATCTATATATTTTACACAATTTTTGTTGATTTAATTAAAACTATATAAAGACAAAGATGGGCACATAAAATAACTGCATCATCCCACTACTACTCTTCTATTTATAGAGGATCCAGCAATAATAATGAAAGCAAACAGCAGAAAAAAAAAGAAGTGCTACGCTGCCAAAATTCAATTACAAACAACGTGTGCGCTCTGTGTTTGACTGACAGCTCGACTACACCTGAGCCTCCAAGAAAGGGAGTATTATGTTGGAAATTATTGATAAGGCGATGGTATTATTTTCAAGGCACAAAGGAAGAGAAAACCAGAACATATTCAGGTTCTCTTGACAGCTGCTGCTGCTGCTGCTCTCTGCTGACAAAGGCCTGTTGCTGGTGTTCGCTTCTCCTCCTGATGGATCCACCGGTCCATGCTGGATATATAGAAGTCAAAGCTAGCTCCCGGGTCACAGATTTTTCATCCATTGTAAATCCACCTCATCTCTATTTGGATTTAGATAATGAAAATTAGTGATTTGAGTAAGATGCCTCGTAAGTGCTCCTTAAAGTGCAAATTCTGCAGCGTTAAAACTATTACTTACACAAAGTATACAGGTATTATAACCCAATCGTACATCAAGTATATTAAGTGAAGTTGTTCATATTGCAGAGGAATTACCTCTTTGTGTGTGGCTGTCTTGGCGGGGAGGGCAGGCAGCAGGGAAGGAGCCAGACGCAGGAGAAACAGATGAGGCAGCAGGATGAATGCAGTGATTTATTGTTAAAAGCTTTCAGGCTGAGTTACCAGGAGGCAGGCAGGTAGCAGGGAATGAAAACTCCAAACAGCAAAAATGATAAAGCGACAAAGGAACAATAGAAGTGGGCTGGTATGCTGATGGGGGGGAAGTGGAGCAGGCGAGCATATGAATGAGGGAGTCTGGCGGGGAGGCAAATAACTTATATTAAAAGGCGATTAGCGACGCCGCGGTCGCACCACCTCACTTCACCACCAACCAGCTGGAGGCCAAGTTTGGATTGATTACGGTAAGTGATCCCACGTCTCCACCGGTTGATAAGCGCCTTTTAAAAGATTAAAAAACAATGGATCATATGTTTTTCATTTGAATCCAAATGTTACGGATTAAAAAAACGTTTTTGTTGGAGAATACAGAAACTTAAGTGAAACTCCCAAATATGTACTTAAGCACAATACTAATGTAAAACATTTACACTGCTGATTATCGATCTGACAGGAAAGGAATGTTTTTAAGATAACCACAGCACTTCCATATTATACTGGTTTGTGTTTCTCTGGTTGTTGCTGCAAGAAAAACAGCAGACGAGTAAATAAGTATAGGACAGGATCAAGTTGTAAGTAAAGTTTAAAGTAAGTCAACATGTGAGGAACACAAATGAGAGCATAATAAGGCAGTGGACATTTTTCATTTTCAGACGTTTGAAAAACAAATGTGTTGAAAGCGTCTCGGAGCTTCTTCACATTCCGCGTCTGTCTCGTTTCTCGCCCGGGAGGAGAGCAGCAGATGTGTCTCAGGTTTAAATGCAGAGGCAGATCACACTTGTTCGGGCAGAGAGGAAACAGCTGGTAAGACGTGCTGTGTTGCTTTGGTGTCACACATGCAACTGGCTTTGGAACATATTTGAGGGTTGGCTTCTTCTTTAAATCAAGAGCCAAATTAGAACTCACAATCACGTCCTACTAAAGCATCAATAACACATTAAAACAGATCGTAGTGCAATCATGCCATGACGCTGTTTTGTTGATCAATTGGGGTCGGTTCAATGTGAATTTCATTTCACTGTGAACAAAAAATACAAAGGGTCCATATTTAGTTTTCATTGATTGAAAATTTTTATATACAGTATATTTTTTTCAAATTTTTGGATATCGAGAAGGGGTATATTATATTATCATTTTTGATAATTAAATTACAAAATTACATCAGTTTTCATCAATTGGGGTATGCACATGGCAACTACCTGCCACAATAAGGTCACCATGCAGGTTTCT